AGCAAGCAGGGGACAGGAACAAGATACTGGTGGGCATTTGCAGCCAAAACGCAAGCTGTGTTGGCAAAACCAACTGATTGAGTTTATTAGTCCCTTCATGACAAAAAGCCATGTTTATACCAAGTAGCTCAAATTACTGCAAGTAATAGTTAAATTTTTACTTATAAGTTACATAATTTATATACCCATATCACATGGGGTAATTTTTCAGGAAAACATGTGACTGTATTTAACAGGTAAAGTCCAAAACAAGGAGCATGTTTTTTTAATTATATTATGTTTGCAAGTACAGTACTAGCTTTTGTTCATGTTTTATTAAATACTTAGAGGATTTAAAAAATATATAAAATCCAGCAAAGAAGGACAAAACCCCAGACCTCTGTCGCATGATGATTCATCAAATCACTATATAATATATAATATAGTGAAGTTCTCTCTTACTTGCCCAATTTCTGACAGCATACTTCTATTCCAGGCTGCCGATGACTGTGCTTCAAATGCAAGTGTGGTTAATAGCTTTGTAGTTATGGTTTGATCTTAAAGGCAGGAAATGTAAATTTAATCATCTTCAACATAAAAAAGAAACCTTTACTTCCTAATCAACTGTCTTAGCCCTTCAGCCTATTATTCAAGGAACCACCTACTTTCAGAAAGTGGTCAGAGTTTCCTTGTTCCTGTACCACTATCAATTTCAGAATCCACCTTCAGTAGAGAAATTTTGGGGGATTGGACATGGGAGAGGTTGGATTTTTTGGACTGGGTGGGGATTTATCAGGTTTTTTGGTGGTTGTTGTGTAGGGGTTTTTTTTAGCAAACCTGAGCACTATTTAGAAATACAGAAGCTTTCCTGTGCTGGCACTTAAGCCTCTTTAGGAGCCTATTTCACTCAGTCTTATTAGATCCCTCTCTAAGTAACTCTGAATTCTTTGGTAGTACCCAGTTTTCTGTGTTTTAGTTATTGCAGTGTGTAAGCTTGTTATCTAAACTACACTCCAAAATCTGACCCAACATAAAACCTAAGATCATGAGCAACCTATAGTGATTTTAATCTGTATTAGTAATCTGTATTAGTAATTTATATTAGTAATTTATAGTAAAAGCACATCCTTCTCACATAGGTAGGTTGATTGCATGGGCAGTGAAGAACTTTTATCTGACAACATAGATTGCTTTTCTGTAGGAACCTTTATAGTCTTTAGGAGCAACTAGTTCAGAAACTCTGACATTTTAGAATTTCTACTCAATTTTACTTTTACTCATGACAATATCACAAAGTTTAAAAGGCAATACATGTGTTTCAGAAGAAAGAAACACACCAGCTGGTGTAAAGTTTAGTATGATAATTGGCACATCTAGGAATTTGAATAAAATCTGACCACAATTTGCAGGAAGCACTTTTAATTAAATATGCTACATCTGCATGTTCAATCAAAAGAAATAATGACTAGTAAATTAAATAATTCTGTAGAACTTATGCTCCTTTCTTTAACACAGTTCAGTTCATTGTCTGTTCTGGTATCAAACACAGTGCTACAATGAGCTAGTCTTTCCTCATTCATCAAATATGACATATTTGTTTGAACTGATGAGACTAAAGGTTCTCAAATTACTGAAAAAAAATCACTGTAGAATCCAAGTGAGAAAGATAATAATAATAAACTTCCATCTTTCTGCACTGATCATAGCTAATTGCTCCATAGGGATAGAATATGAGGATTGGTTTAAAAGAGTTTGGTACTTAGGGTTCAGTCTGTTTTCTACATCACTGCATAGACAATATAGCATATGCTGGAAAATTGTGCATTTTTTCCTACATATTTCAATATGAATGACAAATTATAAAAATTTGAATATCTTGAGAAGATATTATCTTTACACAGAAAAGCTTTTAAGAGGATAATTTACTACCTTTATTTCACCAAGTAAAAGATAGTTCATATGTTCACTTAATGTTTTTTAGTTCACAGTGACCTTCATATTTTTTTCTTGCAAATGCGTTAGCCTGTATTAAGATGATGAATAACCTTATGAAAATGTAAGGTTAATGGGCTTTACTAAAAAAGGCAAATAGGGAGCTCAGGAATCTTGTTAAATTTTATAAATACAGATAAAGAATTTAATTTAGAATTGAGCAGATCTGTTCTTTGGTCATTTCCCTTGGCAGGTTTTATTTCTTGCACGCTAAGCTGGTACTTCTCTTCTTCCTCTTTAATAGACAGAAATTCAGCTAACCCTGTGGTTTTTTTATTAGTCCATTATGTGATATTCTTATAGGCAACAAATAATAAGACGAAAGGGATTAACAACAAGCTCACAGATCAGTAGCTATCACCAATTTTAGTATAAAATTCTGATTTTTTTTTCTAGTTCAAAGAACTGAAGCAAGCCACCACATTTAGCTGAAGGACCGTCACTGCTGTCCTGTTCATGGCAACAAGAAGATTATCACTGTGTCACAGAAGGCTTGAGTGACCTCTGGAGGTCATTTGGTCCACCTCTTCCTGCTCAAGCAGGGTCACCTAAAGTTGGTTGCAAAGGGCTATATACAAATGGTTTTTTAACATCTCCATGGATGGAGACTCCACAAACACCCTGGACAATCTATACCACAGTTCAGTCACCCTTCAAGTAAAACAAGTGTTTTATGATATCAAGACAGAATGTCCTGTCTTTCAGTTTGTGCCCATTGCCTCATCTTGTCACTGGTCACCACTGAAAAGAACCTGGCTCCATCTTCTTTGCACTGTCCCTTCAGTTGTTTATATATATGGATGAGTTTCCTCCTCTTCTTTAAACTAACCAGTAAGAGCTCTCTTGGTCTTATGCATTTACTTTAGCCCCATAGGTAAGGTGCTCTAGTTCCTTAATCGCTGTGGTGGCCCTTTGTTGGACTCTCCCCAGTATGTCTGTGTCTGTCTCATACTGGAGAGTCCGGAACGAGACACCACACTCTAGGTGTGACCTCACTAATGTCGAGTAAAGGGGAAGGATCTCCTCCCTTGACATGCTGGCAGTGCTCTGCCTAATACAGCCCAGAAGGCTGTCGGCCTTCTTTGCCACAAAGATGTCTTGCTGTCTTGATGGGCAACTTGTTATCCACCAGGACTCCCAGGTCATTGTCTGAGAAGCTGCTTTCCAGCTTTTTGGCCCCCCAGTGTGTACTGGTGCATGGGACTGTTCCTCCCCAAGGGCAGAGGCAGGACTTTGCACTTTCCCTTGATGAATTTCATAAGGTTCCTGTTCAGCCCATTTCTCCAGCCTGTTGGGGTCCCTTTGGATGGCAGCACACCCATCTGGTGTATTAGCCACTCCTCCCAGTTTTGTGTCATCAGCAAACTTGGTGAGGGTTCACTCTGCCCCATCATTCAGATAATTCATGACAATGTTGAAGAGGATTAGACCAGTATTGACTCCAGGCCATTGATAGTTAGTGGCCTCCAACTAGACTTTTTGTCACGGATCACCATCCTCTGGGCCCAGCTATTTAGTCAGTTTTCAACCTAGCTCACATACATTTCATACATAACTTAAAAGCTACACAGCTTTTTAGATCTGCAGAAAAAAACTCTAGAGGTGCAGACTTCCCTGGAGACATCACAAATTCTGAAAGATCTAGGCAAGACGTGTGTATTAAAACACTGAGTTTTTGTACATAGAGTCCTAGTAAATGTAAAAGATCAAATTAAAAGTACAAAAGTTACATACTCACCTACTAGAAATAAAGCAACTTTATTGCTAGAGCAGAATTCTGCTTGTTCTGCACAAGCCTTATTACCTCAGGTTCCGACATCTATGTAGCCTCTTCTTTAGTTTGTATATGCAGTGCAAACCAGATTTGCATTTTGAGGACAGAAGCAGATTCAACACAAGAGTGTTCAATTCACAGGGCATTTCACCCACCAGTGAATGCAACTAGTTCATCTCTGTTAAATGCCTTCTCATTTGAACTTATTTCTGTGCTGTGTATATATGCGCTCTATCGGCAGCTGTATCCAAAATCAAGCAAAACTGAGTGAAGTAAAATTGTAGTACAGGCTAAAGACTGCTTTTCTCTTTGCAGTTTACAGCATGTAATGCAAAGGACTTCAACTGTTAATGAAGCTTGTGTGGTCTTCCATCTTTTAAATATTCAACTGTATGCGTTGATGCAGCTCTTTGAGACAATATTGTATAAAGCCCATACAATGTTTCTCTTCCATAAAGAATAAACATAAATGCAGCGAAGGAGAATTTTAATTATGAGATGTCATTATCCTTCATCTGCCTATTCATGATGACTGAAAAACACTATATTGCATTTGAAAAAAAGAATCTGGTATTATACTTAAAGATTACTGTACTGAAATACACAGAGGAGTGTTGTTCTTGCAGCATTTGACAAAGTATGGGAAAGGGAAACTCAAATGAAATTAACCACCTTTTCTGTCTTTTGCATTTAATAAAATTTGCAAGCTTCTAGATTAATCTATTAGTTTCAATTTGCCCACTAACTCATGCACAGAAAGGAAATTTTTTAGCCCATTGAACAACCTTGTCAATTAGAAGTTTAATGAATTAAGATGAACTGAGAGACATTCTTAACTGGCATCTGTTGATAAAGAAGTAGCCAGATTTCTTGAAGTTGCAAGGATCACTAACGAGTACTCTGTTAGAACCAGTTTGTTTATTTAAGGCCAAACTGTGACTTGTGCCCCTGATGTCCTCTGGATGTTACAGTGAATATCCCTGAGCAAAACTTTAAATTATGGTGTGTGATGCGACATATAGTAAAACTTAAGTAGGTATATGAAATTAGCTAAATCTAGATGAGATTGCTTTGTTTTTTTCCTAAAGCATGTTTAATCAAAATGTTTACCAAGCATCTTTGCTGGGCAAAAAAATGTATGTCTTCTAGTGTCAGTTGTATAAATACATTGTATTTTAGTGCTTTAAAACATGTGTTTATTGCTTTTACAATTTCTCTTTGTTAATTGTGACATTATCTTACAATCTTCCTGCAGATGTAAATGAATGTGAAGCCGAACCCTGCAAGAATGGTGGAATCTGTACGGATCTCGTTGCCAACTATTCCTGTGAATGCCCAGGTGAATTTATGGGAAGAAACTGCCAACAGAGTAAGTATTGCACGTTTTCACATCTATTTTTCAAAATAAAATAAATATTTTCTTTTGCAGAAACAACTATAGTATACTATGGAAATATTACTGTAGTCTACAAATAAATAATGCCCAAAATAGCCATCTTAGTCTTTTCAAAATGGAGAAAATCAAAGAAAGCAAATCTGTCATGCATTCAAGTAAAGCATCTGATATGATGGAAGCATTTGCAAAAATGCAAAATTATTATGTAAGAATCAAACATGAAGAAGTAAATAGTGTGGTGGAAAAATACAAAAACTGATTCAGGCTAAGGTTTCATCTCTCCAAGTATTCTATCTTCAACAGTAATTCTTAGAAGATATCAACAAACGCAGGAGTAAAAAAGGCAAAAGGTTATGAAAGACTATGTAGTCTTGAATACCAAAAAAAAAAACCAAACCCCAAAAAGAATAAACTGCTATGGTACAAAATGCAATATACCTTAACTTAACAATTATAACAGACGCTAGAGGCTCATGGATTTGAAATAATGCAGAGAAGAAAACCTGTGTGTTTTAGTCAAAGGATGCTAATATGACGGTGGTGTGGAAAAAGCTAATATACTCCCAAGATATGTCAAGCCTGGTACCTTAAAGAGGAAAAGGAAAATATTTATGTATTAACATTTGTAGTTTTAGATATCAAATCCAAAATACATGAAATATTGGAGTTATCACAGAATCACAGAAAAAAAAAAAAAAAAAAAAAAAAAACACCACGAAAAAACCACAAAAAACACTAACCACCACCCACCACCTAAACACACAACAACCACCAAACCAAAAACCATCACCCACCCACACAGCACCCCACCACAAACCAGTAATCTTGGGCACTAGAGCATGCCCTGAAGAACCATGTCTACACGTTTCTTAAATACCTCCAGGGATGGTGACTCCACCACCTCCCTGGGCAGCCCATTTCAATGCTGGATAACCCTTTCAGTAAAGAAATGTTTCCTAATATCCAACCTGAACTTCCCCTGGCACAACTTGAAGCCATTACCCCTTGTCCTATCATCTGTAACTTGGGAGAAGAGACCGACCCCCGTCTCTCTACAGCCTCCTTTCAGGTACTTGTACAGAGCGATAAGGGCTCCCCTCAGTCTCCTCTTCCCCAGACTGAACAACCCCAGTTCCCTCAGCCTCTCCTCGTAAGACTTGTGCTCCAGACCCCTCACCAGCTTTGTTGCCCTTCTCTGGACCCGCTCCAGCACCTCAATGTCCCTCTTGTGGTAGGGGGCCCAAAACTGGACACAGTACTCGAGGTGGGGTCTCAGTGTACTCGGTCACCAGTGCCGAGTACAGGGGGACGATCACCTCTCGGGCTCTACTTGCCACGCTGTTCTTGATACAGGCCAGGATGCTGTTGGCCTTCTTGGCCACCTGGGCACACTGCTGGCTCATGTTCAGCCGACAGTCAACCAACACCCCCAGGTCCTTTTCTGCCCGGCAGCTCTCCAGCCACTCTGCCCCCAGCCTGTAGCGCTGCCTGGGGTTGGTGGGACCCAAGTGCAGGACCCGGCACTTGGCCTTGTTGAACCTCATCTTGTTGGTCTCGGCCCATCGATCCAGCCACATTCAATAAGGAGAAGGCAGATCTGCTACGTGTAGCAGAAAAATAAAATAAAAAGTATAATACGTTGAATCCTAAATAAATGAAACATAACAAAGTTAAAGAATAGGCTTAATTTCTCAATGTTCACATTGTGCATGCATGGGGAGGAAGAAAGGAGAGGAAAACAACATGGACCAATAACCACAAATGACAGGCTGGGAATTAGCCACAGTTAATTCCCAGAATAATATATGCATCAGGCCAAAGATTTGAGGCATCCAGCATAATGTATATATAATTCCAGACAGAAATCAAAAATTATGTTTTGCTTTGAGAAATTTTACAGGCCTATACGGCTACCTAAAAGAATTTGTTAAAAAATGAACATCTATTAAAGTTTTCTGTAAAAGTTGCTGGTGAAACACTTCATGTATTTCCTTCTAAGATGCAACTGAACTGCCTTTTAGAATTTTACCAGGAATCTCATCCATCTCTTCAGAGTTTACCCCTTCTGGTTTTTTGGCTGCATTATGAACATTGCTCAGATAATAGATCACATAAGACTGATCTCCTGTTTTGCTGGAAATGGGGTAGTCAAAGCTGTTGAAGTGATCATTGCGTTTTCTGGATCATTATCTGCAGTTTCATATTTCTTTTTCTTTTTATACATGTAATATACATGTGTGAAGTTGTATATATTACATACTATACTGGATTTCCCTTATGTTTATGCACATATATACAGATCTGTGGTTTGGAGAGCATATAATGGAATGTATATGTGTACAAAAAAATTAAATTTACTGTATATTGAAATAGTGAAATGATTTTGCTAATGTCAGTTACTGAATTGTAAAATAGGCTGCCTACAGTCTGTCTTTCTGGGTCGTGCTTGGGGGATTTGCACTGGTAAGTCAACTCACCTAGTCCCACAATCTTCCTGGAGATGCATCTGTATATAAAAGTTCACCACTGTGACCCAGGACTCCATTATCCACCCATAGGAAAGAACACTAAGGAATCTGAAAGGGTAATTCTGTTCAGTGTTGGAGATTTTTCATAATTATGATAAGGGTCTATACAACAGTCAAATTGCTTTGGTTTAGAGATCAAGGACAATGCGTTTTAAAACGTGCATTGCAGTAACTGTTAATTTGCTAGCTGCAGAGTGTGCATGGCGTGGTAAGTGGGAGGCATGGCAATGCAGCACCAGAGTGCAGTGGTTAAAAGCTTCTGTTCTCTACTTCCTCTGGGGAAGTAGACCCACGCATGGAGTTACCACCAATACAGTGTCTGCAGGATAGTATCATGGGAGGAGCGTAAAATCAGAGGTGCTTTGAACACGTAAGATAAAACTGATATATTACTTAAATCAGTAACTGGAAAATGCTACACAATGTAGATATTCCATTATGCCACTCTTAATACTCATGTTATTCGATGAAGCGTGTGAAGAGTGATCAATTAATAACATATAATTAACACGGGAATAATGTTTGTACTGACTGTAATCACTGAACCACTCCTATTCAGGAAAGCCAATGCATTCTTCTGGGCACAGTTCACAAACCTTTAGCATTCATCTACTTTTAAGCTACTTTTAGTATAGCTAGCATTAAAATGGCAACTTTTTTTTTTATACCACCAGTATAATTGTGCACTATACTGGTTCCTATAGCTGGGCTTGTAAATATCCTTTTTTTTCCATGAGAAGTTCAGTTATATATCATCATACCTAATTATGTAATTACAAGTAGTAATTACACATTCTAATTACACCATTAGAGTTTTACACTTATTTACAGTAATCATGTAATTAAATACTGTTGCACTAATTATGTAAATTACTGATTGCTGTCTCAGAATTACCTTACACAGCTCAAAGATTGCTACATCACAGAATAGGTGAAATATCCTAGAACAAGGAAAAAAAAAAGAAGCCAAATACATCACACAGTCCGTTCTCCTTTCATTGCAAGCTTGTTTTCTGGGATGCATTTTATTATAATGTATCTAATTTGGTATATCCCAAATACCAATGCTTTGTAAATGTTACTCATCAGTTTGAAGTAGTTTATGTCTGTTTTTCCTAATGCTCTAAGTTTATTCTGTTTTTTTTTATTCCACTGTTTAATCTCACTGTAATTAATTTCTCTTAGCTAATCTCCTAAATAATTCCCTTCCATTTTGTCCCATGTGTAGTTCTTCCCATGTGTGAGACAAATGTTATATTACACCCAGGTCCTGCAAGCCTTGAGGGACACCCACCCAAAATCCTTCTGACTAGTCCCAAAGACCTGCTAATAACTAGTGCAGCTGAAGTAAGAGAGAAAGGCTTGTCTGGAAATGAGGACTAAAATAGCACTAAAAAAGGTAATGAACTTAGAACCATATTTGGAGCATCTTGATGATGTTATGAGTCCCTTCTGGCAAGGTTGAGGTTTGGAGTTGCTTTCTAAGGGCTCAGCTGTGAAGTTCTCAGAAGAGATGGAGGTGATCTCCTGGCCAGCTGATGTGCTTCAGTCCCATCAATGCTTCTGCTGCTTTGTGGCCGCCTTCTGTTGTACTTGTGTATCCTTCTTATTTGAAGCACAGGCCTGGCCTCTTGGGTTTTTTTTCTGGAGAGCCTTAAATCCAGTCTTCTTTTTTTTCTTATTAGCTACTGCTATAGTTAGCTATTCAGGTATAACTGATACTTAAACCAGCTGCTTCTTATGCTGGAAAGCAAAGGATGAGGTCAAAGTGATGTGGAGCGCGAGAGCACTGACGGCTTCATAATATATTGAATTGATCTGCAATAAGCTTATCAACCTGTTAAGAGGTATTTCACTGAGCATCTGGTATTCACAATGTTTGCCTGCAGATGTTTAGTAAACACAGAATGTGAAGAGAGCACCTCTTCCATCCTCTGAAAGCAAAAGCTAAACTATATGAATTCCATATTACTTTCCAGATTTCTTAAGGCCTCAATATTTCCATGATGAAGCTTCATCTCCTTCTGTTCTTGCTCTCGCTGAATCTATTTCTTGCTTCTGTGCTGAATTTAAGCTATCAATTATGATTACCCCCATTACAGCCTTCCTTCATCTTGGAGTCTATAAATAAGTCCTGCTTCCGAGACAGGTTCTCCTGGGGTTGAAATTTTTGCTTTCTGGATCATGAAATTCTCTTGCGGGCAACAGAAAGCCACTTTCATCAGTGTCAGACTGTTTGTTTGCATTATTCAATACAAATCTGTATTGTTAAAATCTCCCATGAGCAATATGGACTGTGAATTGCAATAATTTGTGAGGAGTTCCACAGGTAATTTTTGTCCACTTTTTTATTAATCTAGCAGATTGTATGATACAGTCGGCACGTTTCAATTTCATCATTGTGCATTTTGGAGCTGTATTTTGCTGATTGCCAGAAGTTGCTGC